CTCTTCCTGATGGAGGCTGTGGGAGGGAGGAAGGCTTGGCAGGCAGATGAAATGTTTGTCAGATGGAGAGAAGGTAACTGGGGAGGAAAAGTGTGCTGCTGTGGGAGGTTACCTGCCCAGAGCTTCACCGAAATCCTCTGTGGCTTGGAGAATTGAGGGCTGGCTGCTTTAAGAGGGCCGGGGGCTCTTTGTGCACTACAGCGGCAGCGATTGCAGTTCCCAACTGTGATTTCAACCTCTGGAGCAGATGTCTGTGTGACTAGGGGGTTGGTGGATCCTGGTTTGGGCAGCCAGGTCAGTGACTAGTTGTGGACACCGTACTGTCTGTTCACCTGTGTGACAGGTGCCAGTGCAGTCCTAGCTCCACAGCTAGAGAGCTGCTCACCTGTTGATCTGAACCCTTTTGTGGACATTTGGTTTCCTTCACGAAATAAACGATGGGGATTTTGTCCTTCAGCTGAAGGAGGGGATACTGGCAGGAGGAGGTTCTTCATGGCTGTCTCCTGCTTTTCAGAAAATGCTCTGAAGATGAACTGGACGGTGCCCTCTGGAACTAAGTCTGTCTGAAAAAAAAGAAATCTTCCTTTACCCGAAGGCCTGTGTGTTGTGAAGAGGGAACGTCTGCAGCAGCCAGTGTGCCAGCGATGGGCTCGGAGAACAGCGCCCTGAAGAGCTACGCGCTGGAGGAGCCGCCGTGCACGCTGCCCACCGGGCACGCCGTCTACCCGGCCGTGCTCCAGGATGGCCGGCGTGCCTCCGTCTTCGTGTACAGGAGGGAGAACGAGGAGAAGGTTAACAAAGCCGCCAAGGTACCGGAGGAACTGTGCCTGGGCAGCCTCGTAAGAGCTGTCACTCCTTTTCCTTGGAAGGGTGGGAGTCAGTTAGCGAGGGACAAACCCTTGGGGAGCAAGGACGGGAGAAAAGGTCAAAGGTGACCCTGGCTGCAGGAGGAAGAAGGATGGTGGCCGCTGCAGAGCTCATCGTGGGCTGCACAAAGTGAGCAGTGGTGGGAGGTGACGTTCAGGTGACCGTGCCCACATTCATCTGCAGAGTACTGGTGTCCTGCAGATCTAAGTCACTAGTTCTTTCTCGGGTGGACCCTACCCAAAGTACTGTGTTTACTCTGTGTAATACTTCATCTAGATATATTATAAACAGTTGTGCAATGAGCCAGTGAGTGAGTGTGCTGAGTGTGTGGTGAGGAGCAGGGCTGGGCTGTCTACATTCAAGCAGAAAATATGGCTAAAAGTACAAGGCTAAGCTGTGCAGCCAAAAGAGGTGCCTTGGATGAGATTTAACAGATGTCTTTGTTTCTGGAAGCACCTGAAAACCTTGCGCCACCCTTGCCTTCTGCGCTTCCTCTCTTGTACTGTGGAAGCAAACGGGATCCACCTGGTTACGGAACGTGTGAAGCCTTTGGAGATGGTCCTGGAGACTCTCTCTTCTGCAGAGATCTGCTCAGGGATCTACGATGTGTTGCTGGCACTCATCTTCCTCCATGACAGGGTAGGTACCACTGGCAGTAGTCATCAAGCTTTGGTGGGAGCCAGGTGAAATGTGGTAGGAGGGTGCTGTACTGGGGCTTGCCTGCATTACTGCCTTATTCCTGATCCCTGAGAGCTTTGTCTGCTCTAAAACCCCAGCCCTTCTACCTGCTAGTCACCTACACAATCTTGAAAGACCTTTAGAATTATGTGCTCTTGGGCAGCTTTTCCTCAGCTCCTTGCAGCACTTAATTAGTGCTGATTAAGATTTTGTGTGTTCATCTATCCCCAAGTCTGTTACCTTTGTTTGTTTAGGGAAACCTAACACACAACAATGTCTGTTTGTCATCCGTGTTCGTAAGTGAGGATGGGCACTGGAAGCTGGGAGGAATGGAAACAGTCTGTAACTTCAATGAAGCCACCCCGGAGGTAAGAGCCAAGCAAAGTGCACCCTTTGACGCCTGGGAGAGGGCTCCTGGGCTGCAGCATTTGGCCATCTGTGGGTGCAAAAGCCCAAATCCTTCCAGGTATCTGAATTTACCAAGTGTGTTGGCTCACTTAGAGCTCCAATTTGAATCTTTGCTCTGAGGAGCCTTAACTATAAATTACAACATCTAACTACACAAACAGAAACCAATTCCCAATTAGCCAAAAAGCAGCTGCTTTCCTAAGGGAGGCTGCTGTGTGATTCTGTGATTCTATAGTTAAGGTTAAGACTGGGTGAGTGAGAAATCTTTGTTCCTCTGGACTGATTTTAAAACAAACTGGAAAAAATAAACCCTTTAGTGTGAAGCAGGAAGATCCAGGTTGAAATGAATCAATATGAAAGATAAATGGCTGCTTAGGTTTTGCTGTTGGGAGTCTTCACTGCCTGTTAGTGGTCTCAGAAAAATTCCCAGTGTGATTTCTGCTGCATGCTGTGCAGAGTCATTGCTGCAGCCTGGCACTGTCTCGTAAACATCTATCACCTTTTCTCCCAGAGGATCCACAGCTCCTTCACCAACTGTGTGTGGTGTCTCTGGCTTGTATCACCTTCTGGAAGGGATCAGGCAGACATACAACTGGTGTGTGTGGTGGTGCACAACAACACAGAGGGCACGGCAGCTAAACCTGGCAGCTAAAGCTCGTGACATCCATTCCCCATCCAGATGGATCACGTGGGATGATAGGGATGAGTTGGCTGCAGTGCCCTCCAGTTGGTTTCTGTCAGCTTGGTGCCTCATGCCCAGTCCACTGGCGCTGCCCCTCAGGGCAGGGACAGGCTCCTGCCACCTGCTCAGCCCTGGCCTGGGGCAGAAGCTGCTCCCCTGCTTGGCACCCCTGGGCGAGCCATCCGGGCAGCTCATCTCTCCCCTCTTCTCCTTCCAGTTCCTCTGCCACGTCAAGTCGGTGCGAGACCAGTCGTGCATCCCTTGTGAGGAGATGGTGAGTGGCATCACTCAGAGGCAGGAGCAGCTTCTGGCTGGCAGCAAATAAAAGTGTGATGTTTGGGAGGTTGTTTTCGTTCATGTTTCCCTATGCCTGAATGGGAGGAAGTGGCTATTGGCTAAAATCCGTGGTTTCTCTCTTCCTTTTTTCCCACTTCCATCCCATCCCTGCTTTGGGAATCGTGTTGGGCACAAGGAAGTGAAATTCTGAGTGAGGAGTGATAGGACAGCAGCTTCTCATATTATTTTTCAAACACTTCAAATGCATAATATTTTTCAAAGTGTTTGAAAGCATTTAGGATGCTTCCAAAACTTTGCAAAAATCAGAGTAGTTGCTGAGGTTGCCCAGGCTGCTATGGTCACATACTTGTGTAGCTCTTGTAACAACCTCTTTTCCACTTGTTCATCACCTTGTAGCCATTAAGCAGCCCATGAGTTGTGTGTGTGTGCCAAAGGCATGCTCCTTTTCTCTCTAGTTATCACTTGTGTCCATAGAAATGCTGAAAGCTGTTGACCTGCAATTGCTTCATGCATTCATCAGGGAGTTGTTTCATCGTGATGTCATTGCTCCTTTGGGTTATAAATTCCCTGGTGGAGTTTTTTTTTTATAATATTCTACTTGTAGGCTACTTAGTGGAGCTTTGGTGCTCGAAAAAGAGTTGGAGAGTGTATATGGCGAGGGGTGAGAATAGAGACTCATGGAAACTACCAAGTACTTCATAAACTCCTGCTTTGCTGATTCTTTTTTGGTTTTATTTTCAGTCTGCAGATTTCAAAATTCTGCCCAACAGCTACGGGCACGCGCGGGATGCGTACGCCTTTGGAACAATGGCTGAAAATCTCCTGGCAGCCCTAAATGATCAGGGTGAGAAATGGCACGTGTTTATTTTGCTATTGACAGACCTCCATAGTTTATTCCTTGCCTGCGTCGAGCCATGTGCCTTTTGCTGCAGCTGGCAGATGTGCTACTTGTTCAGTGGCCATTGTTCTTTATGTTTGCTCAGTTAAAATGCAGACTTCAGCTTCTCCTGCATTGCCCTTTCCCTGCATTGGAACAGTGTCAGCTGTGGCTGGAGGAGTGCCCCAATAGCCAAGCAGCTTAGGAAGAGAAGTGGAAATGCTGTTTTCATAGAATCATAGAATGGTTTGAGTTGGAAGGGACCTTAAAAGGTCACTTAGTCCACCCTCCTTGCAGTGAGCAGGGACATCTGCAACTACAGCAGGTTCCTCAGAGCCCCTTCCAACCTGACCTGCAATGTTTTCAGGGATGGGGCATCTACCACCTCTCTGGGCAACCTGGGCCAGTGTTTCACCACTCTCAGTGTAAAAAATTTCTTCCTTCTATCCAGTCTAAATCTCCTCTCTTGTAGTTTGAAACCATCACCCCTTGTCCTGTTGTAAAGGCCCTACTAAAAAAGACTGTCCTTATCTTTCTTACAGGCCCTCTTTAAGTACTGACAGGCTGCGATAAGGTCCCCCCGAGCCTTCTCTTCTCCAGGCTGAGCAACCCCGACTCTCAGCCTGGCCTCACAGCAGGGGGGGGTTGCAGCCCTTGGGCCATATCTGTGGCCCTCTTTTACCTTCCTTTAGGGTCAGATATGAGTAGTTTCACTATCAAATAGAGCTAAAAGTAAGTTTTGGGGGAGAATGGAGTATTCATGAATGTAGCTTGTTCAGTATGAGAGAGAAATCTAACTGTAGGTGCTCTGGATTTCAGTTTCAGCAGATATTCTCTCCAGCTTTCAGCAAACCTTGCACTGTACACTGCTGAATCCAGATCCAAAGTGTCGTCCACCACTGTCCAGCTTACTGTCTCACGAGTTCTTCAGGTGAGGAAAGAATTATCCTGCCTATCTTGGTATGTCTTGATACTGCTTAATTCTGTCTTGCAAATGTGTTACTTTTGTGAAGGTGTGTTACTTACCAGATGGGAAGTGCATATTTAATCTCTGTTTGTTGTCCACCAGCACTTCACCTCTGTCTAGTTCTCTCTGCTAAATGAAGGACAGGGATTTGCCATCTCTGAGATGTGGGTGGTCACATCATCACTAAGGATGGTGCTTGACAGCTGATATTCTTGTGCTTAGGAATGATTTTCTGGAAGTTGTGAATTTTCTGAAGACCTTAACACTGAAATCTGAGGAGGAGAAAACTGAATTTTTCAAGTGAGTGATGGAACTGTAATCTGGAAACTTCTTATTTCAGAAATACTTCTGCTGGATGGGATTTTAGGGGGACCTGGGAGGGCTCATGGCCAAGAGGGGTAGTTCCTCAGCTGGCAGATTTTGATTGCTTTGGCAGAACATGGCTTGGTCTGTAATATTTTGGGTACTCTGGCCAAAGTAATGATCGTGTCAGAGAGGAAACACTTCACTCCCTCCTTCCCCAGTTTCTTGTGACTGTTTCAGTGCTTTTTGGCTGCTGCAGACCAAACACTGGTGTTGGAGAACTCATCAGAAACAAGACTGTAGTGATAGGTGTCACTTCAGGGGTGCCTTTCTGAGTCCTGTCTGCTTGCTGGCAGCTGGGTTGAACTCCCACAGGGCCAAGAACAGGCGCTTGCCCAGGAGTACAGGGATATGAAAAGGAAAGAATTTTTTCATTGCCTATATTCTAGTAGAGTTAATGCACTTTTTGGGGCATGCTGCTGCTGTTAGAAGTTTTACACAAAGGCCATCAACTTGCCCAGCTCAAAATGCTTATCAGCTTCTTTTAATGTGCTGCAAAAAATAAAATCTTTCCCTTTCCTCATTCTTAAAAGTAGCTTTATTTTAGATGCGACTTTGCCAAAAAGGGGAGTCTAGTGGCATCTCTTGAGGCTGTAAATTTTTTTCTATTTAGGCAGATCTTGTAAACTGCTAACAAGAGAGTTTTTAGTGAGACACGTTGGGTGAGTTAATCTTGTGGTGCCAGCCCTGTCTGGGTGAAGCTCTTGTCTCAGCTGCAGTAGTGCAGCACCTGCAGGAAATCCTACTGTCATGGTCCACAGGACGTTTTCTTTAAGGGAAGCTTCCATGTAGTCATGGCATTACCTGGGCCTGAAAAAGGGAGAAACTGAATGTTTGTTTGTTTCTCCATGTGAAAGAGCCTGGGTGTTCTTACAGGGCTATTTTCTTGCATGTTTTATACTTCTGCAGTCACTGCCAGCTGTAGCACTAGTTTGATACCAAGTGGAAGACATAAGAGGAGAAAGCAGATCTTAGCAGGAGCATTCAGATCGGTTCCCACTCCCTCTGTACCAGCAGTGGAAGGAATACTTTAGTTAAAGATAGAGCAGCGTTGCCCTTGTATCAGGCAGAGGGGCCTTCACAGCATGTGCACTACTGCTCTTAGCCTAGAAAAAAGCAGTGTTACTGAGGTTTCAAAGATTAAAGTCCTACAAGCAAGAGCAGTTGCACAAAATCAAACTGTGACTTAATAAGCCCAACCCATAGTCTGTTGGTCACCTCTAAAATGCACTAGATGTGGGTGTTTTCAAACTGTGATTCCCTTCCCTGATGTGGTGGCAGAACAGCCTTTCCCCAACCAGCAGGAAAATTCTTGCGATGTACCAGACCGTGGTGAGAGAAGACAACTCTGTTCTGCAGCTGTAACGCTGTAGCACCTCAGGGGAGATAGCAGCTTTCTGGCAGCTGGATGCCACAGCAGCGGGCAGCTTCTTGGAGGGGGGGCCAAGCGTGCCAGGCGTGGCGGGGCCGCTGGACGTGCTTGTGACAGCCTGGGGTCCACGGGAGGAGGGGCTGCACAGGACGTGTCTCTGGCTCCCATGCCGCCTTGCCTTCGCCTTGAAAGCCTCGGGCAGGGGCAGAGCCTGGTCCGTCTAGTCCGAGTGCAGGCAGAGCGAGACGCTGCGGTGGGACGCGGTCTCCAGGGATGAGGCAGACACAAAAGCAGGAGAAAGCGACGCTGAGGGAAGCAGAGGTGAGCGCAGGGACGGCTGCCTCCATGCTAATGGCTCTCTCCTGGAAGGCTGGCTTCTCAGAGGAGCTGATAGCGTCACGGCTGGTGCCTCTTCTGCTCAATCAGCTCGTGTTTGCAGAACCTGTAGCTGTCAAGAGTTTTCTTCCTCATCTGCTGGGTCCAAAGAAAGGTGACCTTTAAATACTTTCTCTCTTCACAATTATTACTGACAAGTTTGAAACGAATTCAGCACAGTCATTCCGCTGAATCAAGGGAATAGTGGTATTCATTTAACCAGAGCAAATACTGCAGCATGGAGAACCGGACAGGACAGTTACGTGTGCTTCCCTGTCCACAGTACCTCCCACTGCTCTGCTGAGGCTGGGAGGAGAGTTAGGAATTGCCTGGAAAAACTCTTTCCCAGGTGTCACCCCAGGCTTTCGCAGTGGCTTACTGCTCTCTTCTCACCTTTTCCCTACCCTGCCTCCTCTTTTCCTTCAGCCACTGCTCTCATTCTCCTGTACAGATGCTCAGTCTCCTCTCCTTTCTGTGATTCCTTTCCTCTGTAAGAAGTGCTCAGCATGTCCTCCTGGGTCCCCAGCAATCTCTGTCCTTGCCACGTGCCTCCCCTCTCTTACAGTTTTTCCTAAATAGCCACTGGTGTTTCAGCCAAGCAATACCTGTCCTGTGACTGCCTGACCTCCAGTGTTCAGAGCCATTGCCGCCAAGCAGCGGACACGGACACTGCTGCCCCTCCTCCTGTCCCAAGCGAGCTGTGTTGGCAGCTGCGACAGCTGGTGGTGGGGTCTCCACTGTGATGGTTTCTCAGCGAGTAGCTTCTTGGGTGAGCTGTCTCTTGTTGAAGCAGCCTTTTCCCATCTTCACCTCCCTCCCCTAGAGCCAACTGGAGAGAGCCAGACCAGCTGCCTCCTGTCTCCAGCCTTGTTCCAGAGGCATGTCATTCCTGTGCTGCTGAAGCTGTTTGAGGTTCATGAGGAGCACGTCCGAATGGTGCTGCTGTCTCACATTCATGCCTATGCAGAACTGTTCTCTCGGGAGGAGCTGAAAAACATCATCTTGCCACAGGTTAAGGGCAGCAAAACAACATGCGGTATATCCTAGAATACAAGATTTCTGCTCTATGGATTGGTTCTTGGCTTGCAGTTAGGATCTCATAGTGCTGGCCACAAGCAGTTTGCAACCTCCTCCCTATGCGAGCCCTTACTCCTACACCCCATCCTGGTCTGAGGAGCAGGTTTGTTAACCCAGTGCTTGCTGGCACACACAGCTTGTGCCAGTAGCTGTTGGCGTTGACTGGTGGCCTCACAAGAAGAAGCTGTGTTTCTGTCCACACCACGGCTGTCAGGAACAGGGGAGGGATCGCTCCAAGCTCAGGGTGCCTTGGCATTGGGGTCCAGCACTCACTGGGTGCTAGGATCAGCCACCTTCTTTAGCTTGTGATGCCAAGTGGAAGGCTGATATGCTACAGAATAATGTCCAGTATCTGCTGAGAGCTGTGGGAGATCATGGAAATTAAATACGCTGCAAACATAACATTTGAAGGGGAAAGAAGTGAAGAAGCAGCATTCTGTTCTTGGTAACGTCGTTACGTTCCTGGTGCAGGTGTTGCTGGGCCTTCGCGATACCAGCGACTCCATCGTTGCCATAACGCTGCACAGCTTGGCGGTTCTCGTCTCCCTGCTGGGACCTGACGTCGTCGTGGGAGGAGAAAGAACGAAGATTTTCAAAAGCTCTGCACCAAGTTTCCTGAAAACGGCTGATGTCTCCCCAGAAGGTAAGTGATATGCTCAGAGACCTCTTGGGATTCTTGCCCATCCTGTCCAAGCAGCACAGGCAGAATTTCGTGGATGATTAATCTGCTGCTGGTGACAGGTTAATTAAAAAAAAAAAAGATAATTTGCGGTTAGACTTCAGATCTAAATTAGGTGCTGTTTGCAGATACAGAACTGGTATCAGAAAAAGAGTTATATGAAAGTATTTTAAATGTAGGAAATATATGGAAAAAATTTAAATCTTGATTTAAGACTCCCTGTAAGTAAAGGAGATGCAGTGTGTGTGTTTCTTTGGTGGCCATACTTTCCTGCCCTTCTACAGGACTTAACATACTTCGCCAGGTAGCTGTTTAATATTCCCTCTGTCCTTCATGTTTTTAAAAATAGTGAATCTCATCCTCTTCCCCCAATTTCTATTCATAGATTGGAAAAGAAATACGAACTTCACTCTTTTCTCAGCTCTTTGGAGGCTTTTCAGCTAATCCAAATGAAGACAGTAGTCCCTGCACCTGCTAGATAACTTGGCACCAAGTGTACTAGGGGGAAGTTTTTCTGGATATTCAAGCTAAGAGCGCTTATAACCGGAGGGGAAAAATCGGCATTTGTTCTATTATTTGGTCTACTATAGACATTTAGACACCAAATGAAACACGTGCTGTAAATCAACTGAAGTATAAATGTTTTCTTCCTGATGTACTGACAGCTACGACTCTTTATTAAAATCCATGGATGGCTCATTGCTTTATTTTTCCATACATTATTTTAGTAGACTATAGTAAAGAAACCACTTTGGATCACATGCAGAAACCAGGTTTGTTTTTCAGAATACATTTAACCTGATTTAACTATTGACTAACAACAAAGAAGAGCGCCTTTGTCCTCAGCAGCGAGTGATGGAGACAGAACACATGAGGCTTAATAATCTGTTTGCTGAAGCCCCGAAAAAGGCGCAGCTTCTATCTGTTCTGTGTGTTAACAGCCATCCGCCCCCATGCTGGAGTCTGTGCTGGGAACACACCTGAGCCACATGGAAGCAGACGTGGCGTTTGGCCCAAGCCATGGGGTGGGGGCAGCAGGGCCTTGTGCAGCCAAAGACAGTGCTGCCAAATTGCCACCACAGCTCCCCAGAAGGAACTGGATCCAGGTGCTGGCCAAGGGGAACTGCTGCTCAAGCAGCTCCCAAGCGTAGTGGTGACTGCCTGCCACCCCACCTCACCTCAGGGTGGGGTGGCACAGCCCACAGGGCGAGACTCATCCCCGCAGGCTGCCTGGCTCATGCTCAGGCATAGAAGAGGAGAGGGCTGCGTGTAGGCACAGGAGTTCGCTTGTGCTGTGACTGTCAGCTCTGCGCTTGCAGGTAACAGGATTTGTACAGAGCAGTACAGTTGGGGGCTCTGATCCAGCTGGCAGACAGCACTTGAAAAACATCTATTCTGGTCATAATCAGTTTGTTCATTGTGTGTCTCTTGAAAGAACGTTACTGGCAGGAACTGACCACTTAGAATTGCCCAAGCTCGTACTGTCAAGAGCTGTCTGTGGCAGAACAGGAGCGTTGTGTGGCTCGGGAGGCACAGCCGGGGCTTTGCTGCACCAGCCTCCCTTCCGCAGCGCTTGTCAGCGGGGCCAGGGAGGAGGTTCCAGCTCTGCTGTGGGGCAGGGTCGAGCAGGACTGACAACGCACTCATGGACCTGGCCTCTTTTCTCTTATCCCTGCAGACTCGCCCAGTCATGTTGGAAGCAATCTGAGAAATCAAACCTCTCGGCCCCTGAAGACCAATTCTGGTGTGTTCCCCGTCACTGGAAGCGTCCCTGTCAAGAAGCTTTCTGTGCGACAAGACAATTTTCTGGCTTTAAAGACAGGTAAAACTTTTCCCTAGCTTTTTCTTTTTAGAAATCAAGTGTCTACAAATGTTGCTTGAAAAGTTAATTTTCCCATGTGCTGCTCTGAAGGAGATACAGTGAACCATGGAAGGCAACAGAGTGGGACCTGGGGACTTCCTAGGGAATAGTTATTTGGGAATCTGATATCCACAGACTGCTGGCTGACCAGCCAGCATTTGAGTTTCCATTCCATATGGCAGGTTCTCTACTGTGATTTCTCACCCCTCCCACAGCATGGCAGAAACTAGATTTATAGACTGTGTGTTCTCAGGTGGGAAGAGCTCAGCACTGAGGTACCTTTCCAATCAGAAATGCTGCCTTACATCCATGACAGGTGCTACCTCTGATGTCTAGGAATTTTAGGCACAACTGTTTCTACACTTGCACTCTTGAAATGAATGTGTAACACCTTTGCCTTCCACAGGTGAGCAAGACAATCAGTCCCCCCTGAATGGAATTCCTGGAAGCATTAATACTCTAGGGAGCAGCAGGAGCTCTTTGACTACCTCTGAAAAGCCTGCAGAGGAGTGGCCAGACTGGAGTGAGCCAGAGGAGACAGACACTGAGAAAACTGTGAACATTCAAATTCAGCCCAGAGATCTGTGGGGCAGCGTAGGACCTTACTTTGCTGAACGTGATGTAGATGAGAAGCCTTGGGATGACTGTGAGCCCAGCAGCCCCAGTCCTGAACTGTCCTCAGGAATCTGCCTCACTGTGACACAAGCTGATGCAGTTGAGACGCCGAGGCCTCTGCCTGGCACACATCAACTGAGCAAAGAATTCAAAAGCCTCAGGCTGAGTCCCCCCACAAAGTCCTGCCCTGGGAAAAGCTGGAGCAGTGACAAGTGGGACCATCAGGAACAACTGGGAGAAACTGTGCTGCCAAAAATGACCTTACAGGAAAGGTTGAAGTCTTCACTGGAGTCCGGCCTAGGAGAAGAATTCACAATCAAAGTGAAGAGGAAAGCTGTGCAAGACCCTGAGCTGGACTGGTTTGCTGACATGATCCCAGACATTAAACCTTCTTCAGCTGTCTTGATTTTACCTGAAGCTAGGACAGAAGCAATTGTTCCCAGTCACTCTGGTGTAGTGTCCAGCAGAGAAGGTGCCTCCCAGAATGTCCTGTTTTCATCCAAATTTGCAGCTGCTGATACTACTGAGGTAAGAGGCCATAGGCAGTGGGATTTAAATGACCACACACTTGAAAGGATCCTTACAAGCATGTACGTAGCACAGCACGCTGTTGCAGCAGCAGCTGGCTCCTCGGTCAGGTGGTGTATAACCCAAGGCAGCACCAGCAGCACATGACTGGACAGTTCAGTCTTTACTTGTGAACACAAGACACTGAGTTCTGACTGATGTGTCTTACTAGGCCACAGGTGTAATTCAGCAGGCTGTTACTACAGCAGCCAGAGAGCTGTGTGAGGAAACAGTGAGGGAATGGACTCAACTTGTACACTACTAAAGGCACTAAGGAGTTTTAACACCAATTTTTAATCTGCACTGCTGTATCCTGGATGCAGGGACCCTACACTGCTTTAGGTGACAGGTAAAGCAAGGCCAGAGGCTGCAGAAGAAAGCAGAACCTCTGGATTACACAGTTTTTCAGGTGCTTTGTTTTCATGAAAGAATAGCTGAGACATTTTTCCACTTTGGAGAACAAGAGGGGTTATAAAGCTGCTTTGTAAATCCCTCTAGCCTTATAACTGACACTCCAGAGACTGCTTCTGTTTTGTGGGAAGTGAGGTAGTGTTGGCACCAGCACACCGCAGGGAATAAGGTGTTGATTTCAAGTTGTTTTGCTAATTCAGCCCCTGGGAGAGCTGTCCCTGAGGCAGCTGTGGACATGAACTGATTGTTTACAGCATCTGAAAATGAGACAGTTGTGGGACAGAAGCACTGTTGCTGCAATATCAGCCCCATTTTGAGGGAGAAGCCTGACTAATGAAGTTGATGCTGCAGAACAGAACTGTGTCAGGAGCCAGGTGAGATCAAAGTCATAGTGTTAGAATACAGCAGGACACCAGGTGTTTGCTCCCTAGGGGGGAAAGAAATCATCTAGTGTACAGCACCCTCTTCTTAATGGAAGGTGGTCTTGGTACAAACAGTTCTTGATTTTAGGAAAAAAAATACCTTAAAGACAAGAGAAAACTTAACAGGCAGAGTTTTGTGTTTCCTTGTGTAGTTTAAGTGTCTTTAAGACAGAAAGCTGCAAATACTTGCACTTCATTTCTGGTCTTACAAAGAGCTTCTGGCATTCTGGATGAATGCCTGCACAGGCTGGTGCCCGGCTCCTGCAGCCGTGCCAAGCACAGAAGTACAGTACCCGTGCCTTAATGTTGGTAATTTTACGTGATTCTAGGCCGAAGCTGCGGGCTGGGGTGAAGAAGAGGAGTTGAACTGGGAAGATGATACTAACTGGTAATGGGACTGAAAGAGACAAAGGCAATGTATGGTGTGTTGGATTCTGTAAGAGAAGTCGCTGCTTCCCCAGGACCTTGGCTTAAGTACCTCAGTGCCGCTGCTGCAGCAGCCCCCGGCTCCCGTGGTGCCCCAGCTCTTGCAGTGGATGCTCCTCTCCAGTCTGTGCCAAAACCTGCAGGGGTGAGGCCTGCACTCAGCAATACACCCAGCTGTGGCACGTGCCACGGCTGCCAGCAAGAGGAACAGCGTGACGATGTGGTGGTGCTGGCGTGCTGCTGGAGGCCAAGAGTGGTATAAGCGGTTGCTCCAGAACTCACTCCTGCTCTGAAAAACTGATGACAATAAATGAAAGTGACACTGAGTTCCTTGCTTAATGTGCCTTTTTTTTCCCCTCCCACAAAAGTAAAGTCCTTAGCTAAAACATTTGAAAGAGGCATTTCTAAAAGCTGATTTTAAGATGAATGTACAGTTCGCTCAACTTATTTATTTCTGTTTGTATAGTTCTGTCAGTGGATGGTAGAAGAGGCGATAGGACCCATGCAGTGAAGGCCCACTGAACACGAACTGCTTAAGCACTGCATTCTTTATGCTCTTAACTGTCATCAATAAAGATTATTTTTAAATGATGACCCTAGCATGGAGTGGTAACAGCAGCACAGATATGTTCAGACAACAGTATAGAGCCTTAAATTGTTATTACTGAGTATATTTTAAAATTGAGATAAAAACACATACTGCCTGGTCACCTGTATGTGACAGGAACAAAGGTAACTGTTGCTTTACAACAGATTTAGACATCTTAGTATTCAAAATACAGCCTCACAAAACATTTGTCACTGTACAGTGGTTTAGAAGAGCAGGCTCTGCCTTGGCAATGTACAAAGCCACGGCTCAGAGGCACAAGCGTCCATTGAAATCCATCAGTCCTTCTAGCCAGTTATTACAAAAGACAAGGTCAACGTCTCTCACCTCAGTCCATTTTGGCATGTTAACCGAGACCCAGGAGGCCAGCAGAGCACCAGCCTGTGTCACCGTTTTTCCTTTTGCAGCAGCCCTGGTGCAGAGGCAGCTCCTCCCTCGCAGCAGGGGGCGGAGCCGTCTCGCTGTCTCAGAGCTGCCGGGCACCCTACCGTACGCTGTCTCGGAGCGTGGCTATGGCTGCATGTAGAGCCTCCAGTTTCACTGCAAGCCAAGCAGGGGCTGACCCCTTCTGGAGCAGTAGCTTCATGGCCTCCACTGCCCTCTCCATCGTGCCTACTGCTGCCTTATACTGCTCCTCAGAGGGTGGGTGACATACTCTTTTTGCAAGAGGCTGCAGATTTAAGTAAACATGAAACATCATTTAAAGTGGTAAGTCTTCATCCAAATGCAAGAACACCCTTAGATGGAGAAGAGCTGCAAAGAGACAGCCTCATCTTGTGAGAGTGCTTGCCAGCTGGCAGGCAGTACAGAACATTCAGGTATAATATTGAGGTCCAGGAGTGCACACAACCTTTTTTCTTGGAACACAGACTATCTTGAACCTCTTTAAATACTTCCCAGAACTGACAGAAATCAACAATAGAGCCTAGATAGTTGGAAGAAGTGCACATACCTCTCCTGTTGACTCCAGTTCTCCATCCATTTTCATGAACTGTGCACTGCAGGTGATCCTTTCTTGCTTCATGCGTTCTGTTCGTGCTTCTGTTGTCTCTTCTACTTGACTTGTCTAGGGAGAAAGCCCCAGGAGAGGTAACTAAACCAAGGCAGCATTACCAACCTTCATAGGCTTCTTTTATATGCCAGAACAAAGGGGAGGGAGGGAGAGACAGATCTTAACATGTGGTTCAAAGTGAATCTTAATTTCTCATGCACTCTTCTGAGCAGGAGACCAGTTACCTACAACTTCAATGTAGCACCACTGGCAGCTCACTTCTTTTGCTGATTATCTGCTTATCACATACCACTCATCCAGACAGCCCTGCCTGAGGTTACAGCATGGGAACCGCCCCCTATCCCATTGTCTGTATTCTGCAGGAATACCCACCTGCTCTTCAGAGAGTTTTTGTCTTATGTGCATAAAGAACTAAGATGTTTCATACAGGTTAATTTAGCTTTCAGAAACAGACCCAAGAGAAACGGGGAAGGAAACAACACAAACTGAGTGATGAAATCCCTGTCTTTCTAAGACAAGGATTAAGGAGACTGCTTACAACAGAAACAGCAATTTAATCTTTTGTTGTTGTTCAAGGAGAGAAAAGCAAAACATTTAAATCAAAGTTTCGAAGTACTGGAAAAGCAGTGTGCATAGGAGTGGCAGCTGTTAATTCTGCTGATTAAAGCAAGTAGAAATGTTGAAACAGATCCCAGTTAAGGGAACAATTTGTTTTAAACTTACTTATTTAATTGTCATGCAGGTGATGCACATGTACTGCTTATAACAGATGTGAACAACATCAACTTAGAAAGCAGTAAAATGGTTCAACAACATACACACCTTAGCCAGAAAACTAACAACTTTGTTCTTAGTTTCTTCAGAATTCAGGCACTGAGGAACAATATCTTCATGGCTTGTTTCCTGTCAAAAATGTTGAGTCACAGTTGTTTAGTACATTCATATTAACAAAGGAGTAGACAAAAATAAATGTTCCTATGACAGTCCCTTCCCTGTTGCAGGCAGTCTGAGCAGTCACTGCTTAATCTTCCTTCACTTCCAGCTCCTGAAATCACTCAGGACTGCTTTTGATATGCAATAGCATCTGTAATACTAAGATCCAAACTGGGCAGTGAAGAGCAGCAACCATTTAAAGCAGGAGAATCTCAGTACTATGGAAGTTACCAGAGCCAAACACATGCATCTAGAGTTCTGCTGGGCTTACCTCTGCAAAATGTGTGAATGCCTCCAGCGCATGCTGGTGAATCAGCCAGGTCTGGTCAGCTAGCAGAGAAGCAAACAAACATGACAACTGGGGTACAACCTGTCTCTGAAAGAGGAACAAGTACCGGTCAGTTCCAGAGTTACTTGTGCGTATCTTACCGTCAGGATTGATTTATTATTAAAGAACCGCTCTAAGGTCAAGGGCCAGGTTTGTGAAATCCAAGAGTGCTGCTGGCAAAGTAAACTCTGTGAGGGAGGTGACATGTTCTATTCTTTCCTCTTGGGGGTTCCAACGTCAGTCCTTCCTAAGTGGTAAGAATCAACAAGCAGATGAATGAACCAGGCATCTTATATGCACCCAGCATGTCTTGATGAAAAACAAAACTGACCTGGACCATTAATACGTCTCCAAGATTATTCCATCCTGCCACTCCTACATATATTTAATTAATGTGATCCTTTATATTTAAATAGTAACAATAAGTAGCATATTTTTTTCATCAAAAGACCAAAGATTGTTTCACTCAGGCCACAGTTGTACTTGCCTGTGCTTCCTGCGGTATAAACACCTTCCCCATGGAGGAGAGAAAGCCCACCATGGCCAGCCGAACGTGGTCGGGGGGACCCAACTGGAAAAGGGAGCACTGCAGTGCAAACACCTGCAGAAAACAAACCCCAGCCAAGCTCCATCAGCACACTGTGGGTGGAAACTGCTCCATCTCATCCTTAAAGGTGAGGACACTGATTTTATGAAAGTGGGCTGAAAACAAAAGGAAATGGTACGCTATATCTTGACTAAAACTGGCTAGGGTAAAGCTGCAGAGTGCATTTTGCAAAGAAATGAGCATATGAGCATGTTCTGTAGCATATCCATATATCTCAATTACAGAGGAATGAGATTCTCAAAAGCAGTGTTAACCAAGGTGCCATACACTTGGTTCAAAGACCAGGAAAGTAATCAAGGAAGAAATAAAATTAGGAACCTCCTCGGGTTATGAGAAGGCCAGACCATGAAATAACTCATTTCATTTCAGTAAATCACAAAGGACTTGGTTTTCATGAAGTCAATAATTCATAAGAAATTTAGGTGAGGGGTTTGTTTTGTGTGTTGTTTTGTTTGTTTTTACCTGAGTAATCAGTTGAGCGTCTAATGCTTGGACGAAAAATTCCAAAAGGTGAAGTAATAAACACAGCATCTGCTGGAGACATGGCTCCTCTGAGACCTTCAACAGATCACAAGTTACTAGTAACACTGCATTTTAGCTTGTGAAATAACTACTTCAGAAAGGATTTAATGTGCCAAAATTCTTAGCCTGACTTCACACACAAAACCATGCTGTAAGCAGCAGAAGAAAATATTAAAACAGTGACACTGATATTTCAGGTAGTTGTACTTTGCAAAACCTTTCTTTAATTTTTAAGAATATTTCTTACCCCTTATCTCCTTCCTCCCCTCACTAATTTATGTAGCTAAAGGTTATCTGAACTACTACTTTCCATTTATCAGTTGCCAAATGTCTTCTCCGAATGGCTGAGTTTGGAAGTGACCTCTGAAGGGGCACATTGTTGGCTGCTCTCCATTTCTGCTCTCACCCT